AAGTGAGGTAGTGATGCCACATCTTTTTATATCCCCTGGGTTCTCCTGGGATGTTTTTTTTTTCGAGGCCATGGCTGCTCTAGACTGTGGACCCTTGTTCACCTCATCTCGGTGATAAGCCTGGTGGTTGTTCGGATCTGCAGTTTTATGGCCTCTTCAGCGTCCGTTGAGAACCATATAACTGGTTTTCGATGTACGCTGAAGGGGTCATACAACTGGAGTTCCGAACTCGATCAAGTCTCAGCGAGACAGGACACTCTTTGCCATGTTTCAAACTTGAAAAAAGACCAAGCACAGTTCGCCCTTAGCTTAATTAAAATCCAATCGACATGTTGTCCATTTCAATGATTCTATTCAAAATAGCCTTTCGTGTGTTTGACTGAGCACTGTTCAACTCGCCTGACCAATAGTTGCTAGCCTGACAACTAGTATTTCACAATTCTTCATGGGTTCCAATAATGGGAGCTGGAACGCCACTCAGATTTCCGAGACGGGCACATTCATCCTTCTGACCACACCGACTCGTACCAACCTTGTTTGAATAATTTCTTGACCATCACCATCGAACTTGTTTCTCAACGGAATATGTGACTGCCTGAATACAGCATTCCTCATTCCTTAGAAGTCCAAGCCACCCGAAAGTGGCCTTTGACTTTAGAAAGTCGCGTTTCCTGCCAAGGACCTGTTGGACTATCCTCTTCCAAGGTTGTAGTCGAACACATGGAGAGACGAACAGGTGGCAACCAAAAATGGCAGGGGAAATCTCGAGGGAGACGAACCCAACATGCGTCAAGTTTATGAAGTTCGCTCGTTGTCCCTACTGATATGGTGGTCAATCACTGGTCTCAAGCAGAAACCGCATTTCAATTCTCATTGTTCTCATCATTTAAAAAGGACTGTCTATATAATGCAACGCAAGCCAGCCACAAGCCAATCAACAGCCGGTGTATCTAAATCTAATCAAAAATGGAAGCCTTCATAGAGTTCGGCTGAATATACTCGGACGCATTGCGGAAGCTGGTGAAACCCCAGCGAATCTGTGCAGCCATGGCAATCTCAACATCCAAGTCCTTAGCAAACTGCCAAGCGAGACCAGTATCACGCTGGAAGGCACGACCAACAAGGATGACATCAAGATCATCATCGTTAAGAATCTTCTCTCCCAAGTTTCCGCTGTTGATCATACCAACAGCAGCAACAAGCATCTTATCCCCGACAGCCTTCTTGACAGCAGCAGCGTAAGGAACCTGGAAACCAGGACCAGAGGTAACCTTCTGAGCAGAGTGCACACCACCAGTACTGATATCGATCAGATCGACACATCCCTGCGCAGCAAGCGCGCGAGCGAACTCAACTGTGTCCTCAAGCTTCCAGCCCTTCTCATCTGGCATGCTGTTCTCGAGCCAGTCGGTAGCCGACACACGCAGGAAGACGGGCACATCATCACCGACAGCGTCACGGGTCAACTGAGCGATCTCCAAGGACAGACGAATACGGTTCTCGAAGCTGCCACCGTAGTTATCGGTGCGCTTGTTGGAAGAGGCGCTCAGGAAAGACGAGAGGAGGTAACCATGAGCGTTGTGGATCTCGATGAAATCACAGCCAGCAGCAATAGCACGCTTAACAGCAGCAACCCAGGCAGTCTTGACCTCGGCGATATCGTCCTGGGTCATGGCAATGGGGACAGGATCGCCCTCAGCAAAGGGAATGGCGCTGGGAGCCTTGACGTTATCGGTCCAACCGCCGACAGAGTTGTTCGCGACAACACCGCCAAGCCAAGGCGCCACCGTCGACGCCTTGCGGCCGGCGTGTGCGAGCTGGATACCGATTTTCTGGCCTTGGCTGTGTGCAAACTCAACGACCTGCTTCAGAGGCGCGATCTGCGAGTCCTTCCAGAGACCCAGGCAGCCGGGAGTGATGCGGCCTTCGGGGACAACACCGGTTGCTTCGATGATCATGCTTCCTGGTCCGCGCTGGGCAATGGCGCCGTAGTGCGCCATGTGCCAGGCGGTCATGTGGCCGTCTTCAGCGCTGTATTGGCACATAGGCGCCAGCTGGAGGGTTATTGTTAGCTGTGTGTTTATGCAAGATATTGGGGGAATTACATACACCAAGACGATTTTGGAAAGTCACTCCTCTGACGGTGAGAGGCTTAAATAGCTTGGGAATGGGCTTTCCGCTCGTTTGAGGATTGCGAGCTGAGCCTGCCGGGGGGCTCTGGCTAGGGGTGAAGTATGAGACGCCCTCGGCGGGCTTAACGGAGACGTCAGGCCAGGTCATTTTAATGGTGTTTAGGTATGTATATTATTATATGTGTGAATGATTCTATTTTACAGGGGTAGGATTGGCTTGGTTTATATACTCACCTACAGTGGGGAAGTTGAGATTGATTTATCATCGAAATCTTTTTGATAACATTACCATCTGATTCTGGAGGCGAATAAATCACAAATATCCACGGAATTCAATATCCTGCCCTCGAAGAATCCCACTCTTGACCACATGGGTCCATTTGTCAGGACGTCGCAGTGAAATCCTGTAAAAGATATTATAAAAAGTCGCCGAACGATATCCACCCGGTTGAATTTGGTCCCGATTTGCCATCGGGATCCATCCTCGGCACATAAGAATGATTATGTAATGCATCCGACAGCGATCCATGCAACTGAGGTCCCCAGATCTCAAACTCTGCAGTTTAAGCTCATTTCTACTCTAGGCACATTGAGTTTGCGTCAAGTGATCGTGCTGTCAACGTTCCTAGAGTGAGTAGAAATAAGCTCAAACTGCAGAATGACTTCACAATTAGATACATGTGTAATGATATTCTTCCAATATTCATATCCATCTGGCGGTAGGATAGATGTAGATAGTTCGCGCCACGCCGGATCGAGGGCTGGCCATCGCAAGGCGTAGTACTCCCTTTCTGGTACACTATAACCCGCAGCGCCCCAGTCAATGATCCCTGTGATTTTATCGTCCTGAATCATGACGTTAGACTGGTCCAGGTCGCCATGAGTAAGTACTTTGACTTCTTCTTGGGCGGTGCCAGACACGAGGAGTTCTTCTGCAAAGAGAATATCCGTCTCTGTCTCGAGCTTTAGATTAGGCCCTAGACTTTTTCATAGCTTCCACCATCCCTTTATTGAAGTCTTTACGGCACGCAGATGGCCCATAGTGGTAGACTTTGTTCTCCCAGGATGTTGGAAAATGATCTCTTGGCATGGACCATTATCGACCGTCCCGAAAAATGGTCCTTTGATCTGACGCCATTGCTTTATATAGCCTTGTAGCTCCTGCGCGAGGGGTTCCTTCAGCGTGCGGGGTAATGTTGGCCAGCTTTGACCGAGCTGGATGCCATCTATTTTCTCCATCAAGATGAATCCAATATCCTCAATCATATATGCATTGAAAATCTTGGGAACAGGGACTGATGTTTGATGCCTGACCAGAATCATAGCCTCCGTCTCCCATTGGAGCCCTTAGTCCGACTTTCAGAATAGTTGCTCCGTCAAGCTGTAACAGGTAACAACCATTGAGTCGGTGGGGGCAAATGTTCAGACCGTTCCAAATCCGTTCCACCGGAACTAATGGTGGCGGGTCGGCTCGCACCGAGGGCGAAAACTTGACCGCAACGGCTGAATTTGTTAGATCACAGATCCTTTCTTCAGATCTACACGAGTCGGCTGAGTTGGGGGTACTAAAGAAAAGTCGCTGATGAAAAATGGAGGGGAGGCCACTCACTGCCTCATACCCAAGGCCCTTCCACATCTAGCATCCTGGGTCAGCACACCGGCATCTTGGGTCATGTTGCTCTTTGAGGAATATCCATTGTAAGATGTGGTGAGATACCAGCAGCAATTGGTCTTCGAGGTGAAGTGGTGTCTCTATAACCCCTCTAACAAGGATCCGATCGGATGCCAAGGATGGCCCGACTTAAAATTCACGGCCAATTGGGGTTAGCAGTCTCACAATCCATACCGGGCAATCTTGATATTCGAAAAGGCCTTTCGGGGCCCGCCGGATACCCGCTTACATACTCATTTCAACGTCAAATAGATCCACCTGGGCATGGATGGGACGCTGATTGGTTCTCGGCAGTAATAGTCAATAGTCCTCAGGTGGATAGTATAAATAGACACAGTAAGTTCTAGAAGCAAATGGGGCTTGTAGATAACGTTGAATACATTCGTGCCCCTTAACTTGGGAAAAATTTTCTTTAGAAGCCTAGGGAGAATCCCTGAAAAGTCGAAGAGAGCAAAAATAAAATCATCGATATAATATGCAACAGAATCACACTCACACAACTCAACAGCATCAAGTTCGCTTTAATGTTTCCTGACAATGTCTATGACATTGAGGAGCTTTCCCCTGAGGATCGCACTCTGTTCGCGCAGAAGTATCGGAAATATCTTCACTATATAGCGCAAGCAGCAATATGGACCACCTACATCTACTTTGCAGTGCGGCTGTTTTTCACCTTGGCGAACCCGGAGCGAACATGGAAAATGTGGATAATGCTTGGAGTTGAGGGTCTATTTGCCCGTGAGTTATCTCCCAATAGAGAAAATTCAACAGCCACTGACCCAGTTAGACATGTCCCTGAACCACCAATGCTTGTCCTTAGCCGCAACAGCAAAGCCACCACACCAGACACCCCGCAAGAGATTACGCAGCGATAAAAATCTTCCTAGAGTTGATGTGCTAGTAACATGCTGCGGAGAGCCAGTCGAAATCATCCTGGACACAGTCCGAGCAGCATGTAGTCTAGACTACCCAGCTTCCCGTTTCCGAGTCCGGCTTCTAGACGACGGAGCATCAAGTAACCTGCACGACGCAATCGCAAAACTCGCCACAAAATGGACTCACCTGTCCTATCACACCCGCGGCAAGCAATCCGGGCAATCGTTCGCCAAAGCAGGCAACCTCAACTACGCCCTATTCACCCTACAAACCGAAGACCCGCCGGAGTTCTGCACAGTCGTCGACGCAGACTCCATCCTGATGCCAGAGTTTCTACGCGCGACACTGCCCCATCTACTCGCAGACTCGAAGGCAGCATTACTGACTACCCGGCAGTATTTCTATAATCTGCCCCGCGGCGATCCCCTCTCCCAGTCGCGCGCTTACTTCTACACATGTAAGAACGCGGAACTCAATCTTCTGGGTCATGCACTAGACGCGGGATCAGGTGCGGTCTTCCGTCGCGACGCGATTTTCGACGCAGGTGGATATCCGACCTATTCGTTCTCGGAGGATTGGCAGCTGTCGTTGATTCTACGAGGGCTAGGCAAGCGCACGATGCAGGTACAAGAGGTTTTGCAATTTGGTCTCGTTCCTACTTCTCTTGCGGGGCATCTTAAACAGCGGAATCGGTGGCACATTGGACACTCCCAGCAGATTTCTGTGTTATTCCCTTCTATGAATAAGGCGATTCCAGAGCATCTGCGTTGGGATATTGCTTTTGGAGGATTGTCTATTATGGCAGGTCTCGTGAGCTATTCGATTGGTTTTGTTACTCTGCCCTTTCTTCTTGTCTCCGATGGTGAGTTTATTCCTGCTGCATCGGCCTTGGAGGTCAAGATTCAGCTTGTTCTGGCCATCGTGCATGTTGCATTTACATGGGCATATGATGGGGCTCAGAGTGCACATGCGGGCCTTCCATTTGCACCTTTTGCACATGCAGAGAACAGTTGGCTTGCTACTGGTAAGTTTGGTGAAGATTTCTACATATCTGATGGGCCCTGGAAGTTTATCCTGACCTGTTGTGTTAACAGCCCACTTGTACGCCATTGTACGATTTCATCTATTCGGAAGCAAGCCCAGGGGATCCTTTGTTACCGGAAGCACCGCCAATTCGAGAGAAAATACCACATCCATTTCGTCGTTCCAAAGAGCATGCAGAGATACTCTTCAAAGCGGGGCTTTGTTGAACATTTGTCTCTTTATTGCAACTGTTGGAGCTATGCTCTTCGCGGTTTGGGTGGCCATCTCCAGAGATGGACCGACGATTATTCCCAAACTGCTCACTACAATTGCTTGGCCGCCGTTGCTGCACTTGTGCCTTTTGGTGATTGTGAACAATTGGATACCAATTTCTCATCTTTTCAATCCTCCGATCTATCCCTCCAGAGACTCTAAGTTGCTCGGTACAGAGAAGGGAATATCATACCCACGAGCGGAGGTTGAACGGGAAATTAGCTCCGAGAAGGCTTTGCTTGGCGTCTGCTGCTCGTCTGTGGTGCCAATCGTTCTTTTGGGGGCGTTTGTGGGTGCTATGATATCATAGAGCTTGGCCACTTGGCTTTATATTGTATGCTATGTTCCTCTCTGTGGATGTACACATAGACAACAGAGAAGGTATGTATCTCTGCACGGGGTCACGAGACAGTCACGTTACGCTGGACCTCGGGAGTGTTGTACCCCAACGGCAGTTTCAGTGTGAACTCAAATATGGGGAGCGGCAGATTAATTCCGGGGAATTTTGAGTTCTCGCCTCCTGAGTGGATGCATTGAACGTTGCCTAGGCTGGAGCGTTGGGAGCACCTTCTAGGGATAGTGGCAAGGAGAGATCCTGCAGCGAAAGGTGCTGGTTTGCATCGTCCACTCTTTCGGCAGAACTATGCGTTATATTGCAAAGTTTAGAATGCATACGGAGTATGAACCTTCTCAATTGAAATTTACTGGGAATAACCGAGGGTAGTGAAGAAATAAATGCCTTCGGTGCAACCAAAGTGTCCATACACTTTTGACATCCTGAATACCTAGTTTGGATTAGAGCTATATGCAAATGCAGTAAAAATAGAGTCATCGTCCGCTAAGATCTCGCGTCTATGCGTATTCAAACCTCAAAATTGAGCGAAATCGACTCCCCCAGACCGACGATCTTCTCCGCAATATGGGGATCGTCATCCCCTCCCCCGCCCCCTCACAGGGTCCGTTCAAATCCATTCAACGAGGCTGTTTTAAGATCCCCACAAAAAGTCAAGGTACCATCATATTTCAATAAAATGATCGGCCGATTTCAAACACCGAGGTACCAGTTTTGAATGGGCCTGTGAATCCGGGGGTGGCCGAGGCAGCCATTCTGTTCATGTGGGTCAGTCAGCAGTGAATGAATTGAACAAGACACCATCGCCAGGGGGCTTGCGAACTAAATGTGAGTTGATTTCCTCCAGTCGACTCTGCATTATACCCACGATTCGCACCATGGCTCCTACTCCTGACCGAATGTCCGGGCACCTCGGTCACCTTACTCCTGATCAGGAAGCAAAGGTAATTGAATTCTGGATCATCATCTTGACCTCTGTTGCGACTGTACTGTCTGCTGTTTATGAAGTCCCGATTCCAAAGGGCTCTCCCAGCAAGCTGTTTGCTGCTCTGGACAAGATCAATGAGCCGACGGTGGAGGCTATCATTAGCGCATTCAAGGGCGAAGACACCAATACACAGACCACGAACGGGACCGCACCGGCGGAATCAAATGGAGAAACCAACGGAAATACCAATGGGGAAAACGACTCCGACAATAAAAAGCAGAAATCACTCGACAAGGTGGACGCGCTTATGAATGAACATGCCAAAGATACTATCATTTCGGAAATGGCCAACCGAAAGGTCACCCCTGCCCACTTCTCTTCCCTTTTCTCGCAGCTCCGAAAGCTCGGCGTGCAAGATGCAGAGATCAAGTCCATGGAGGATATCCTCTCTAGGATGACGCCTCAGGAAATGTGCTTTGCGATCTTGAAGATGATCAAGCAGGAAAATCCAGATAGCTTATTGCTCCGGTTCTTGCGCGCCAGAAAATGGGATGTCGGAAAAGCATTCTCAATGATGGCGTCGAACATCCTGTGGAGAAAGGAAGTCGAGGTTGATGAAGAGATTCTGCCCCGGGGAGAGGAATATGCTCTGGAGCAATCCCGTAGTGCCAAAGCTACTTCGAAGGAGAAGAAGACAGGTGCGGACTTTATCAACCAACTCAAGATGGGAAAAAGCTTCCTTCATGGCTTTGACAGGGACGGCCGGCCTGTTATTTATGTTAGGGTGAAGATCCACAAGCCAGGCGCTCAGAGTGAGGAAGCTCTTGAGCGGTATATTGTTCATGTTATTGAGGCAGTGCGACTTATCGTAACTCCTCCGGTTGAAACGGGTGTATGTTCGACCGGAATGTTGAGATATTGACTCAGGCTGACATGTTCACAGACAATTGTCTTCGATTTGACAGGATTCGGGTTGTCCAACATGGTAAGACCTTATAGTGCGGTTAACTGGTCGTATACTAACTAATCTTTGCAATAGGAATACCCTCCAGTCAAGTTCATTCTCAAATGCTTCGAAGCAAACTATCCCGAATCTCTGGGGCAACTGCTCATCCATAACGCACCCTGGGTTTTCTCCGGTAAGTAATTCCACTAGGAATCCTTACTTTCATTCCTAGAGCGTACTCACAGCCTCACTCTCATCAAATAGGAATCTGGAGACTTATCCACGGCTGGATGGACCCCGTAGTCGCATCGAAAGTGCATTTCACGAAGTCAATCGCCGACCTGGATAAGTTTATCCCGCGCAACAAGATCCCTAAAGAGTTCTCCGGCGATGAAAACTGGACTTATAAATACGACGAGCCTGTGAATGACGAAAACGCGGCGATGAAAGACACTGCAACGTGCGACTCGCTCATGTATGACCGCATGATGATCGGTATCCGGATGATTAGTGCCACGGCGGCGTGGATCTCTGCTAGCTCGCACTCTGATGGGAAGGAAGAGGTGTCGAAAGTGGAGGAGCTTAAGTCGCGACGGGATGCTGTTATTGATGAGTTCCGCGTGAACTATTGGAAGCTGGATCCTTATATTCGAGCACGGTCGTTCATTGATCGGAATGGGATGCTTGCGGCTAGTCGTGGACTTGAGCGGGATGCTAGTTCAAACGGCTAGGCAAAGTAGAGGCGTTTCTTTCGGGTATTGTTAATCTTCAGGAATGGATACATATATGCTGGATAATGTCTGTATTCGCTACCTTTGCCCTTCCATTTTAGTGCTCATGGCACGCCTTTGAGTACCATGAATTGATCACTGACCATTGCATACTCAAAATGCTCTGCTCACAACTCGACCATGTACGACTTCTATTGTCAGCATTCTGTCATGCTCGTATATCCATACATCTAATGATCTTTTAGGTCCATACCCTCTCCTCGCCCAGGTCCCGCCGTCCCACCCTGCCACCTCCGTCAGGCTACCCTACACATACAAATATGGCCGCCAATCTCTACCCCCTCAGTGACGGTCGATCCAGATAGGCCGGATGGCCTGAGGATGCTGATCCACTCACTAATTATCTGAGCGCCCTAGTCTGCTCACTAAGTACGAAATGAGCTTACCTAGGTACGGATAAGCGGCCTAAGTGCAACATAGACTGCGCCAAAAACCGCAATTGGGAGACCAAAGCGAACGCGCTGGTCCACAACGACGACAGCAAGATCAGCGGGATATGAAAACCATCCGACTTCTTTTTACCAGACACAATGTATTGTATCTTCCCCTGTAGGCTGAAAGTTGTCATCTAATATACTATTAGCTTTCGGAATTACACCTCAACATTCTCTCTGCGACTCTATTCCCGGAGTCTAAGATCTTACTACTTTTGAAATACTCGAATTATGAAACAGTCCCATATAGTCCGTGCATCAGGGTGTGTTGCAGCGCGTTATTTCGACTGCCAGACTACCTATTCCGCCCTGCCCGCACGACGCACTTCCCCACATTCTTCTGTCACTTGTCACTTCGTCTCCCCACACTCACCCAATCCATTCCTTCCCCCATCGGATGCGACTTTTGGGCCTTCCAATGGCCGACTCTTTGAAATCCGTTCGCATTTTCGAGCTCCAGATCAGTATTGATCGGTGCTCCTTCGATGTCATACAGAATCTCCTGTCCAGGCTGACCCAAGTGCGCCAAATAGACGGATGAAGGCGAGGCGTAAGGGGGCCCACCGAGAGACAGCTTTTTCTGGGTCGGGAATTCGACGCAGACAATCACACTTTCTTGGTGAGTGGAAAGGAGATCCCAGTACCGGCGAGCCCATGAGGGACGAAGGTCAGGGGTGAGGGCACAGAAGAACTGCCCTTGCAATGTCAGCCTCATATCACACACGAACTGAGAGGTCAAATTTAAGTTATTTCCCTTGAGCACGTTATACAGCTCGCCGATAGCGACATTCATGCGAACGGACTTATAACCAACACCACGATGTGAAGGTAGACGGATAACTCAAGGGAAAACACTCACAGTGTAGTCATAGATGAACTCGAATTTACCAGGCAGGTCCATGCGAGCAATCCACTCGTCACTAAAAAAGTCGCCTATTATGAACTGCGCCTTCCCTGGTCCAGCTGCCTGATCTCGAACAGGATAATCGGCCAGATGCTCCTCAGCCCACGCATTAGCTTCCTCAACCGCCTTAGCCGATAGCTCAAGGCCATAGGCGTCGTAGCCTAGGCTGGACAGGAGGAGGACGTCGTATCCACGTCCACAACCCGGCACCAGCGCTCGCTTCCTCCGGCACTCCCCCTTTTCGTCATGAATAAAGGCAGAGGCACCAATGAGATCCTGACGGTTCTCCATGACATGCACAAGGGCCGGATTGGGAATCCCCTGATCCCAAGGGAGGAAGTCGCCCACATCCCATAGCGCTGCCCACCGATCATTGGCTGGAGGGCCCTCGCCACTAAAATGCTTCAGAAGGCGCGAGATTTCCTCCTGGTTGAGAGGCTTTCCCGACTCGGTCATGTTGGAGGATGGTATAGTGTTTGTAAAAGCTATTGGATAGAGTGTGCTGACGTTAAGGTCTTGTTCAGATTACCTTTGCTTTAGGCCTTTCTACTGTTGGATGACGGGCTGACCAGGTCAATTTATGTCGAAACGCATTCCGTGACGATCTGCAGATGACCTCGGCCCAACGTACATCGAATCCTCCACAAATGCGGTCGAAGCGAATGAGCATCCTTATCCTCTGGTTCACGGATGATACTTCTCGTTGATCCTACGAACATGGTCAGATGTTCCCGAGCAGGATTCCAATCTTGTCGATATACATGAATCGAGGTCCCATATCACGCCCGAGTAGGGTTCCAATCTCATCGATGTGCATCAATCGTGGTCGTATATCACACTCATCCTCACCCGAGACCAGTCATAATGTTTACCTAGCGGCCGTGACGATGAGAAGGGAATATCGCGTAACCTTGTCGACGCTGAAGTGGTGTCCATGTCTCTGCAGCCGGCCAAATTCAGAGTATATGTGTCAAAGTACGCACGCTACTCCCTTTAGGTTGAGGATACCGGAAGGCGATTGGCCCCATCCGCCCCAGTACATATGCAAGGCGTTTTCGGGGACCACGAGGGGGCCATCTCATTCATGGTAAGTGGTATTGCCTACAGAAAGCTAATAGAAGAGCGTGCAATTTAAAAGATGATGATAATCTCCTCAACCTGGTTCAATTGTCACTAGCTTGACTGAGCAATATATGTTACAGAGACTACCGCTATACTTCCATTTAGTTGTACCTGATCAAACTTTCCATATCATATCATGGATAGAGACATTGGCCACGATGCCTACAGCGCTGAAACCTTGCGGGAGACTGAATACCCTATGCTTAAAGGTAAATAAATAGAAATGTTTGTAACTAAAGCGAGAACACTCCATAACTAATTTGTCTAGGGGAGACATATCTCGACCATACCGGTACAACTCTCTACGCCAGTCGGCTCTCAAAAGTTTTACAGACGAAATGTCCACCAGCCTCCTTGGAAACCCGCACTCTGATTCGGTCGTCGCAACTCTCAACAAAGAAGGTCGAAGAGGTCCGAAAGCGGACGTTAGAGTCCTTCAATGCCGACCTGGAGCATTTCGATTTAGTTTTTGTTATGAATGCTACTGCGGCACTTAAACTCGTCCTCGAGGCATTAAAGGATGTACCCGTGTCACAGGACCGAGAGAAGGCCTCCCGGGAGCCGGGGCTCTGGCTCGGATACCATCTTGAGTCCTATACAAGCATTCTGGGTATGCGCGAACTGGCTGATGCCGGACAACATTGCTTCGTCTCGGATGATGAAGTCGAGTCCTGGCTCAGACCCGCGCCTTCCAAGGACGAGACTGGTCGATGTCCAGGGCAAACTTCAGGGACCTTCCAAGTGGGCCTATTCGCATACCCTGGGCAGACAAATATAAATGGACGACGGCTGCCTCTTCACTGGCCGGAAGTTCTACGCCAATCAAAAGACGCCCCCCATCAGCGGGTGTTCAGCATTTTGGATGCCGCAGCTCTGGCCTCGACCATGTCACTGGACTGCTTCCGTGACCCGGATACTGCACCCGACTTCACAGCCGTCAGCTTCTACAAGATCTTCGGCTTTCCTGATCTAGGAGGATTGATCGTGCGCAAGAAATCTGCACCTGTACTGCTGCAGCGTCCCTACTTCGGTGGCGGCACTGTGGAGATGGCTACCTGCTCCGACCAACCATGGCATTCTCGAAAAGTAGCCTGCATTCACGAGGCTCTCGAGGATGGCACCGTGCCATTTCATAATATCGTTGCTCTCGGATGTGCTCTCACAACACATGAGCAGCTGTATATCTCCCAGGAACACGTGTCTCGCCATACAACCCGCCTCACTGTACGCCTCTACGAGCTCCTCTCTTCTATGCGCCACCCGAACGGCGAGAAAGTGTGCGAGATTTATAAAGATCACTCTGCCACATATGGCGACAGTAAGACTCAAGGAAGCATCATCGCCTTCAACATCCGCTCTGATGAAGGCCGGTGGCTAGACCTCTCATGTCGAGAAAGCTGCCAATGAGCACCGCATACATCTTCGCACGGGCACCGTCTGTAACCCGGGGGGCCTGGCAAAGATACTAAATCTGGAGCAGTGGGAGCTGTTCCAGAACTACACGGCCGGTGTTCGATGCGGATGTCGCAGCGTGCTCATTGGACATAAGCCTTCGGGTATAATCAGAGTCAGTCTGGGCGCAATGAGTACCATAAGCGACGTCGAGATCTTCGTGGGGTTCGTCCAAGACCTCTCTGCGACTGGATCTCTTCCTCTGCTGACACCCGCGCCTCTTCCCTCGCCCCAGAGCCTCCGAGTGCATACTCTGATGGTCTACCCAATCAAAGGTTGCGCTGCATACACCGTGCCAGAGAACAAACACTGGCAGGTCAACTCGACGGGCCTGCAGTGGGACCGTCAATGGTGTCTAGTCAACTTGCAAACCGGATCAGTGGTAGATAAGAAAGAGGCACCACGCTTATTACTTATCGAGCCTGAGATCGACGCCGAAAACGGGATTTTGCGAATCAGCGTCCACCACTCGCTGCAGCAGAGCCATCCTAAGCTGCGAGGCACTATGGAAGTTCCACTATTCCACCCTGGTGAAAGGAACCCCTCCAACAAGACGGACAGCTATCAATATCGGACCACTGTTGTCCGGGAGGTCCGCCATCCCTGCAGCAACGCCCCTCAGCATGTTCAACTCTACGAATCGCCCGATCTCGCTACATATTTGACCGCCGCCCTTACCGTTCCCTGTACGCTCGCGAGGTTTTTCCATCCAGAATGTCTACCGGAGCGCTCTTCTGGTCAGCTCCCGAAACATTTTCCGGAGGTGACGGCCTTCCCCAGCCAGGATCCCATGGCTGATCGATACTCGATGCCCGTCCCAGTTGAAGCGGAGAACGGCCGATCTAGACCACGCGCTATAGCTCTGATGGAGATCCTGCGAGTAAATGCCCTGATGTATTTCAATCTAGAGTCTGGGCACCGACAATGGTATCTACTGCGTGTTGGGCGGAGGGATCTAGATGGTGGGAATGACAACGCGCGCGTCATTCATTACGGGCGTATGAAGGCGGTTGAAGTGACCGCGGGGCGACAAGGGCCCGAGATCTTTGAGGCGACGAGCCCCGTGATCAAGATCTCGTGGAGTGAGGATAGTGGTGGAGGTTGTGGTGATGCTGCTGCTGCTGCTGATGATACAAGGGTTATGGGCTCGCTGGATGGAATGCTGCCAATCTGTGCTGGTCAGATTGTTCAGGTCTAGGTAGCTGGTATGGCGGGGAAAGAAGTAGCTTCCCCCGAGTCCAGCAGGCGACCCTGTAGCTAAAGTGAACCAAATGCGGCTATACATTCCCAATGGTCTTTTCTTTGTACATCTGGGAGAATAGTCCATTCATCCGGATGAGGGATGTTGGAAACAAAATAGGAAGCAAAGGGGAGGCTTCCCCCCGTGATGTCTTATATCTAGAGTTGCTATAGCTGTTCTAAATTCGAATTTCTCATTCAAACATGCTCTTCCCGATAAGAGCTCTAGCCGCAAGACAGTCGATCCGCGAATGGAGTCCCATTGGTCGTGAGATCAACCATCGAGTCTCTCAATATAGCGAGAAGTTGATTTGGGTACCAAAAAAGAACAGGACCATCACTGACAACATCAACGCGCCATCAAATGCGTACAGCGGCCATTCGTGAGTGACAAGATAGCCAGTATCGTTCACTGACTGCATCGCAAACTCGACAACCCGGAAGATATTCCGCACCAAGATAGCCATCGATGTCACGTAAAGCATATTGAGACATGTCTGCCATGGGACATGGGCTGCGGCGTGAGATTCACCCACTTGGGCTCGAAACCTCATATTGAATAGCAGACAGCATATCAAGAAATAAACAAATATGAGAATTTGCAAAATAAGCCCGGCGATGATGATGTAGTCGCCCGTCTTGGTGGTTTCTGACTTGGCGAGTAGCCCGGCAGCGTTACCTTGAATCAATAGGCACACGATGTCTCCCGCAATGAAGAACCGGGTGGCCCAGCGCATGGAAATGGGCGAGAAAGGTTCGCCATGGATGGCTTTGACGATATGGAAGTATGTCATGTAAAGTGTTGCGGCGAAGAAGACTGGGGGTAAGACCAGAAAGATATCTTGGATAACGTACGGCAACAGTCCACCCGTAGAGTTTGTCGATACCGCTCTAAAGACGTAGCCAATAATCTCCACTAAAAGAAGCCACGGGTTAGTGAGAGGCTCCCAAAGATAGATTGGATCGACACTTACAGATTCCACCCAGAACAAAAGGAAGGTTGGACCAGATCTTTGTTGTATGTAACTTCCAGATGTGGGCTGTTGTTGCAAGACAGAACAGGACAGTAAAAGTGAGGGCAAGGGGCAGACTGGGTACGTAGTGCCATAAGTAGACCCCTTCATAGGTTTCGAGAGTTGGCATATCATACACTCGGCTAAGCTGGTGGCCGAAATGGCAGGAAAATGTAGAAGTTCGCTCAAGATAGCAGGTCAAATGGCAATATGATCATTGAAAGGCGAGAGCGGCCAGTATACCTTTAAATATTTTCTATATAACATAATACTAGCGTAGTCTACGCCCCTGTTGGCAGACTAGGAGCCCTAGAAATGAAGCAGACTGCTAAGATTCTATACATATCTCTTAATTTAGTGTAGAATGCATCTCGGAAGAAGCCGAATACGCGTGTTAGCTAACACGCGTGTTACTTAAGCATGGTATAACCACACATGGGCAGCCCTGGACGAGACTGATCTTACCAGGCTACCGATTTGACGAATGACTATTGATAGAAATAATGTGGTATGACAATGTAAGGTACCCATCAGGGGTATTTAACGCCGTAATTTACTAAAATGGCAAAAACAACAATTTCTGTACATGTATGCACTGTATGGTATCCTCCGTACAGTCACATGATCTTCTGGACAATGCCCTCCAAATCCATGTATTCAATCTCCACTTTCGACAAATACCTGTATTTCTGCAAGACTTTGTGCTAGCTGGACTCCGAAGTTATTTGGCTGTGATACGTGCGTTTCACTACTTGCACAGCCCCGCATGCTCCGTCGCGGCCATAAGAAGTCCCGGACAGGTTGTCTACAATGGTGAATCGAATCGCTATTGATAAATCTGCCTCATTTCTTAGATTAGACTGACCTTCATGAAATAGCAAACGGCGACATACCAAGGTAATGCTCCCAACGTAACTTCCACTGACGTGACTGATAAAGGGTCTTTGCAAACGCCCAGTGCGACGAGGGTCGCCCAGTATGCTCGCTTTGTATCTCGTCCGGGCGAGAATGCAGCTATTTAAGTCAAATACCACCTCAAAGTCATTTGAAATTGGCCAATACTTCTCGTGTGGTGTCAACAAGTCCAGGGAACACTGCGAGCCAGGGTACCGTTACCCTGTCTAATACAGCCCCTTTAATGGTAGCCTCGCTAATCAATGTAGACATAGCTAAAAGTGCAAGTGTCGGTAGCCATAATGATCAAACCTTTGAAGAGGACATCAACCTCAAGCATATGGAGCTTCTCGTCCACTTGGCCACCGATAAAGAGCTTCTAATTCTCACCCACGGCGCTAAAAACGAAGTCTCTCACCCCGAACTAGCCCTCGGCCTCAAAAAAGGCCTAGAGTCACCATATCTTATGTATCAACTGCTTGCATTCTCCGCCCGTCATCTGGCCTTTCTGAAACCCGAGGTTTCGGCCTCTTATCTACACCAGGCAGTCACTCTGCAAACTCGCGCCGTCTCGATGTTCAATGCCGCCTGGACAGAGATAAACCAGTCCAACTGCGTTGCTATACTACTATTCTCATCAATCCTGGGTCACCACCTGCTCACTGACACGCTTGCTAAACGAATACCAGATGGCCTTGACGAATTCATGACCAACTACGTGCAATTCGTCGAAATGCATAGGGGAATCCATACGATTGCTATGACGGCAAAGCCACAGCTGATGCAGTCGGAACTTGAACCTATCCTTTCATGGAGCACGTCGTTTACATCGCGCTCACCGAGTGGCGACGACTGCCAAAGAGTCAGTGAGCTGGTGGATCGCGCGGAAAGTCTAGGACTGGAGGATAAGAAAGCCTGCCAAGCCGTGATTAGGTTCCTTCAGGTTGGATTTGATGCGGTGTTCTCAGAGGAGGAACAGGGAAACAGATACCATATGCTCTGTACATGGCCAATGCTGGGGCCTCCTGAGTTTACGGCTTTATTGGTAGCTAGAAAGCCTGAGGCTTTGGTGATACTGGCTTACTATGCAGCGCTGCTGCAACATGGGGAACATCTTTGGCAGATCGGGGATGCAGGGGCATATATGATGAGTATTATTTCTGGCTTTCTTGGCTTAGAGTGGGACTATTGGCTCGAATACCCAAGGCATAGCATACTTCAAAGCCTCCGGTAAAAAATACAGTTGCATTATAGAATGTGGATTTGGTGGATTGCACGTGTCTCTGTTCATAATTCCCATAAACATGAGACCAGCTCCCTCAAAGCGCATTCAAGCTAATAGAGCGAAAGCATTGCGGTTGTATTACTCTTCGTTCTTCCGTATCCCACTCCATTGTGACTTTGCAGGAATGTTGACAGAACCTGTGGCCCGCCCTACTCTTTATTCTGCACTCCGATATTTCCTCCGGTGATAGATATGATCCATAGAATTCGTTATAAATATGTACATTGAAACCATGACTGCTGATGCTTCTATACTCGGATACAGCAACCTGGGCGATATATACAAGTCCCATTCACCACTCCAACCGATCATCACAGATAAGACTAACATCAAATCTCTCCAGCCCCTTCCAGACCTTCCCACCAGAATTACAAGAAGCAACAATATCCCGCAGGTCGCTAATCATCCCACCAGGCCCACTAGCAAAGACACTGGTTGGGCCGCGCACAGTCTCGGCCAAGAAATCATCAACCAACCGCGAAAGATCAGGATGTCTATTGACATCATCCGAGCCGTCGCCGAGCCGCTCCACAGGCGTAGGCTTGTCGCATCCACAGCACGCGGAAACCGGCTCGGAAGGCGAGATCTGCACGACCTTCTCCTCAATCTTTGGGACCGACAGATTGCAGTTTTCCGAATCCGAACTCTCCGAGGGCGTCTTACTCCCCGCGTCCCGGGTAGCGAAAATGCGAATCTCGAGGTTCAACATCTTTCGCGCTTTCTGCAGGAGATCCAGCTCTGCCGCGACCCACTCCGTATTCGCCGTGTGGCGGACCGCCCAGATGAGCTCGACCTTGCGGTCCGGCGAGGGTTGCTGGCGGGCAAGATCTAGCAGAACGGGGAGGACGTAGGTAATGCCGGTCCCGCCGGCGACGCAGATTATATTGGTGCTTGGTGTCAAGTGACTGGTGATGGACTCGCCATATGCGCCGGTCAGGATGACTGGTGTTGTGGGTGTACCCGTGGCAGCGAGATCAGCGACCTTTTTTGTCTCGCCGCTTTTCGCGCGGAGGATGTATGAGTGCTGGACTGTGCCTTTTGATACGGTGGGGAGGTTGAGTGGCGTGAAGGGGTGGGATTGCCAGATGCTGCATTTCGTGAAGGATAGGTAGTAGTGTTGGCCGATGGACCAGGGGTCTTGGTTGTTGTGCAGATCGAGGCGGATGACGTCTCCGTGTTCGGTGTCCGGGAAGCGGGTGATGGTCGCGTCGACAGGCTTGAAGCCTAGGCCCAAAGTACCGGAGTGGTCTGGATGGTAGTGTAGTAGGGCTGTGCGAACGAGGCGAGCTCCGCGATCGAGGAACCAGAAGATCAGTGAGGGCCACATGAAGCACTTGAGCTGCTTCCAGTGCGCCCAGCAGGCGCCGATGTAGACCATGGCGAGGATGTAGTGCAGTTTGCGGAAGGTCTCGTAGCCGGTGAGTCTGATTCCCCACGGTGTGCTCAGCACGACCAGTAGGAGCAGAAGGATCATGGCGACGATGCCCCAGACGATGTATGTCTGAGTGACCCACTCGAGTCCCACGGTGGGTTGCGGCTGGTACATTCTCAGCTCGACGACGCACCAGGCGATTGTATGCAGGGAGCTTTGAACGAAGATGATGTAGCCTAGCCAGCGATGGAGAAAGTTGAAGCTCTGGTATGGCAGGCCGGTGATGAGGGAGAGGAACGACTCTCGGCTGCTCAGTAGCACAGAGAGCGGGGTGAGGGCGTAGGCCAGGGTGCCGATGCGATCTGACCACGGGCCGATGCTGTTGCGGGTATTATATACACCGGGCATATCTTTCACGGGGGTGACCCATGTGTTGTAAAGAATGCCGACAAAACTGAAGATGAGCAGGTAGCCAGCCAACAAAGCGAGGGTGAGCACTTGAAGGCGTGTTGTGCGGCCGAAGACCAGTCGAGCCGCATCAGGCAGGAGATATTTCCGGGCGAATGAGGCAACAGAGCGGCGGACCTTGTATAGTCCGGCTAGTTCAGGTGTTGCTAGTGCAGGTGATATCGTTGGCACGTTGAACTGGTTCAGGACAACCCAGAGGAGCAAAATTGTGCCGATGACACACCACATAATGCCTGAATATAGCATTCCCAGGTCATGGGATGCGTATACTTCGTCGAGATACTCGCACGATCCCGGATCGCTGGTGCAAGGAAGAGCGCGATCGTAGTATCCCCAATGAGGCTCTAATGCTGTCGCCTTACTCATGTCTTGGATGTGGCGAACGTTCAATTTTGGGGACGACATTATGTCCTGAACTGCCCTGTGCAGTGGGCTGACGTTGAAGACCAAGTATGAGCCTCAGCCCACTTCCGACGAGCGTGGAGCGAGGATCAGTTCAAGAAGAAAGAACGAATTCTGCGTCCGGTCGGATTATTTGGTCATAGTGAAGCGCAGAAGAAAGTAAGTGGGAGAAGCCCACGAGCTTTTTATTCATTGCCATTACGCGAACCACACGATTTGCAAGTGTAAAGTGGCCATCTCACATTTGAGGCGATTTGAGCACATTTCTCACACCATCAGGTTCCACTTCGCCTTAGCGCGGGGAGCGACCACCAGGTTATTATAAGACCGTCGGCCTCGACCGCTGATATCACCTGGGCAGACACGCCATTTCCTCATCCCTTCATCCCTTCATACCCAGAACACCAGTCAAGATGGAGGGCATGGACCACGGCAGCAGCTCAAGTAGCTGCAAGGTCTCGGTGGGTGCCAAGAGACATCGGAGATTTCAAAGTGGATTCGCTGACGAAAATCCAGATGCTGTTTAATTTTCACACCATCGATGCCTGCTTCCTGTCCACCGGATGGCAGATCAAAAACAATGGCATGTTTGCTGCGACCTGCATTGGCACAATTCTGCTCGTTGTTCTGGTCGAGTTCTGTCGGCGCATTGGTCGGGAATACGACAACTTCCTGACGCGCCAGTTTGAGCGCCAAGCCGCACACGGCACGTTTGCCAAGAAATTTGAATCGGCCAGAACGGCCGTGACATTTCGCGCGACGCCATTGCAGCAGTTAACGAGGTCTGTGATTCATGCAGTCACCTTCGCAGGAGCTTATATCACCATGTTGCTGGCCATGTATTTCAATGTGTATGTGATTATTTGCATCTTTATTGGTGCGGGGCTAGGCAAGTTCTTGTGTGATTGGATGGTTGTCACAGTGGGAATAGACGACGTGCAGGATGAGACACGGAAATTGGAGGAAACAACGATATGTTGTGATTAATGACTATGTATGCATTTTGTGCTCTTTTAGCGTTTATATATGAAACTTGCATTTTGTTATAATCCACTCATTCATTATTTACATACACGATGTCTTGTGGGAAGAGCAATCCTTTCCATGTAAGATCTCTTTCAATGCTGTTGTCTTGTATATACCGGGATTTCCTTTGCCGCTGGCCTTAGACACCTGCAGCAACTATCAGCAAAAACAATGAATTCCTTCCTTTACCCACCTATCTCAGACTTTGACCGAAGAATAGAAGCAGAAGAAAAGAATTCCTAACAATGACTACTATGACTTCCGTCAACTTCCATGTCTTCAATCACTCACTGTCTTTCCAATGTGAGTATTAAAGCTAGCTGGAAGGTCTTAAACAGCCTCAATCCCGTCCACATTTTGGAGCTGCCGTCGGAACAATTCTCTACTGATCTATCGAACTCTACATTCTTGACTTTTCGCTACAAAGTGGCTTGTACCACTCATAACAAGGACCTCGGGAGTAACACCTCTCCCTTCTCCCAAACATGAATTCATCCGAAAGTGCCCAGCTCCTTGAACAGCACTTCAACGACGCCCACAAGAACTTCACGGCCACTTTAAAGAGCATCATACACACCCTGCAACACGATGGCTTCACCATGGAGAATTGTTGGGAAGTCTGCGACCAACTCGATCTTCTTGATTCTCTACTAGGTGATATGCAGGAGCTTGGCCCGGAGATGGCCTTGGAAACTCCATATCGGCTCGTCTTGCACGGATTACCTAGACGCTACTTCCTGGACTGTAAATTCCAGTTTGATTGTCTTGGTGTTCAGTCCGGCCTGGATGATATTCGCGGTATTTTGGCCGAGTGCTTTTATGATGACTGTGCTGAGCTTGCCTGTGTTGGGTTGGAAAGTCTCCTCGCTAGGCTTCCATTCTAGTTGATTTTGAATGAATTTGAGAATGTTGCTGCGTTCGTCGGAGTATTTGCAATGTATATTAAGCATATTAAGAGTAAATATCAATACATTAGGTATTCAGATATCAACACGTGATATCGGACTTTTCCCCGCAGTGGCTGAGTGGGTCCGACGCCTTCCGACTACCTGCCGGTGACATTGGAAGTATGTTATAGCATGGAAATATTCCCCTTTAATATGATTATTTATTTACTTCTTATCTCTGATCTTTGCTATGCCCGCCTTATGAGCACCTTTGGGATTCATCATAAAGTTATTTGACCAGACGCCGTCGCAGAACAGCACATGGGGTCAACTGCAACGTTTGCGAGCACAACAAGATTACCATGGTCTCCGATGAAGAGACCTGTTGGATAGTAGTCTATTCAAAAGCAAGTATATTTATGAGAAGGTATCAACGGGTGTTTTCGGGAGTAGAGACGGAGAGACAATCCATAGTAGGTGAGGGAGCAGCTTTTGATGGGTTTAATTTCCTAGTGCACATCTATCTCGGCCTTTGATGAACCGTCAACAAGATATCCAATCTAAGAGTTTTAATTTCCTGGCATCCATATATCTCGGCTTTTCTAGAAGGTATTCACACAAAGGGCGTGCCAAGACCCTCTTGCCAAGCCTTAAGTGTAGCTCCGATTGCTTATCCCCGTCCTGTCCACGGGTGTACCTGCCTGGATTGTTAATATGTACTCCGTACTCCTAGACGGATTCAAATGATAGGATCCAAATCAGACTCCTATCTTGACTCCAAGAAATTTCCTTCCCCACGGTTGATAGAAATCCCGCTGGTACTTACTCCAACGGTCTAAGATAACGTATAGCGTCGGAAGAAATTCCGCCTTGATAAGGAAAACTGACAGCCACTGACAGGCTGCACTCGACAAATCCCGAGTTCCTAGCTAGCTAGATCTAGATCTGAGAGTCTAACTGAATGCTTGTAGGCGCTTGACATGTTGCGATTTTACGTAACAGCCTGAGCGATGCATGGACGATATGAACGCTGACCAAGCTGCAGAGGAGGCTACGGAGACGTCGTATCTACACATCTTCCCCAGCTACAATACCACCCCCAGATAAGAAAGTCGCAGCAAATCATCCCAAAGATAGCGATGGCTCGAGATACCGGGTCTAGTATTACGAAGATACTCGATGAAAGCGAAAAAAAGACATATAAAACGTGTCCGGCAAGCATGGAGACAAATGAACTATCGCCAAGTGCTCATATTTTATTTCCACATTACACCTGTCCACACCCAGGATGAAAGTTAATCTACAACATAGCCTCTTGGCGTTGGGTCTATCAGGCCTGAGCCTAGCCGGGGTCGCGGGGAGAGACATCGAGGTCGTACGGTTCCACAGTCCCGGGGTTGTAACCGCCGACTCTTTGCACAACATTCACATCGAGTTCCTGGACAAGAATTTCGAAGGTCACCTGCAGCTTGTCTACGGGGAATGCGGGATCCAAGATCCGACGCAGAGCCACCATGAGATCGGGAGCACGTTCGTAAAACGCGAAGCACAACCGGAGCGATTCGTCTGGAGTACACCATCTGACGCACCCCATTCACATTGTCTGCATGCTTTCTCCGGATTGATGCTTGTAGGCCGCTCTTCTCCCATCGTGGTCTCATCACCTGTCAAGAAGCGCGAGAGTATCGCCGATGTGGCAGATGCTATGGGACCGTGGTTTGACGGAGTGGCTTACATGAAGTCGAAGAAAAACAACAAAGCATTTGTTTCCAAAGCGAAAAGTACTTCTGTTGCTATTCTGGGCGGTGGAATGTCCGGCTTGATGACGAGTTTGCTGCTCGAGTCTGTTGGTATTCATGATTGGCACATCTATGAATCGTCCGGGCGAGTTGGTGGTCGCATCCGTACCAAATACCTGAACAACACCACTCCAGACCAATATCAATATCAGGAGATGGGACCAATGCGATTCCCAGTTAGCATCACATATGCCGACACGAACGAGACGCTCGAAATCCAAGATCACCGCATGGTCTTCCAACTCGCAGACGTTCTCAATAAGATGAACAAAAACAAGCCAGATCTGCAGGTCAACTTCATTCCCTTTATACAGAATAGCCCCAATGTGCCAGCAGCCTCGGGTGGCAACCGCCTCCCCAACGGGCGAATTCCCAGTGCCGCCCAAGTCGCCGCCAACTCATCACTAGTCTACAAGGCACCGTCATCCAATGAAACAGCTGTCGAGGAAGCAGAATCCGCATTCGAAAACTACACCACAATCAACAACAGGGAAACAATCCGCAAGATCGCAACCAACATGTACCAAGCCCACAAGCAAGCCGTAGACGACGGCCTGTTCCACTGGTCCGAGGCCGGGTACTTGAAATACGCAATGGGCTATGACGCCAACATAACCGACTACGTGGCCGGCGCAGACCCCTCCCAGATCTGGGACGATCTCTACGACGATGTCTACTTCGCAGCCACCAAATGGCGCACCATCGACAAGGGTCTTGAGTCCCTGCCTCGCGCATTCTACCCACACGTCGCAGAGAAGACAACCCTCAACCGCACAGTTGAAGGACTAATCTACAACGAGACAACGGGCAAAGTCGCTGTCGCATGGCGCGACGATCCGTTCCAGATGGTGCCAGAAACAAAAGAATACGACTACGCCGTCGTCGCTACACCATTCAGCAAAGTCAGACTCTGGGATCTACCTCGGTACTCGTCGCTTCTGAGCCGGGCAATCTCGACCATGAACTACAGCCCCTCCTGCAAGATGTCGCTGCTTTACAAGACGCGGTTCTGGGAGCACATGGAAGAGCCCATCTTCGGCGGATGCGGGTCAGTCGATGTCCCCGGTGTCGGGAGTGTCTGCTACCCCTCCTACAACATGAACGCGACCGGACCGGGTGTGATTCTCGCGTCGTATATCTCGGGCACGCCGGCTCGGTCGACGGCGGCGCTGAGCGAGGAGGAACACGTTGCGCTGATTCAGCGCACGATGGTCGAGGTGCATGGTAAGATTGCTGCTGAGCAATTTACAGGTGTGTATAATCGCCAGTGCTGGGAGGTTGATCAGCATCAGGCGGGTGCTTGGGCTAGTCCGCTTGTTGGACAGCAGGAGCTGTATTTGCCTGCTTACTATCAGACGGAGTTTAAAACTATCTTTATTGGAGAGCATACTAGTTATACTCATGCTTGGATTTTTTCAGCGCTGGATTCCGCCGTACGGGGGACGACACAGTTGTTGCTTGATCTTGGTTTGATTGATGAGGCTAAAGAGATTGTTGAGACTTGGATGGGGAGGTGGATTGAGCTGTGAATAAGGGTCTGTGGGTTGTGAAATTGTACAGAGAGTGTTTCACTCAGAGCCACTTATTTTTGCAGTGCATAATATTAGATGATAAGTAATATATGAGAATGAAGCTATAATATCCATGACCAACATACATTACACAGCTATATAGCAAAGGCAGAACTAGCCTTCTAAAGGTCTTTGTCTTAGCAATCCAATGGAGAGACCATTTCTAGCTCATCTTCAATTGATGCGAGAGAGCCATTGTATCAAAGAGACATAGGCTTTCAATCCAAATAAAGCTCTGTAAGTATCTCAACTAATATAATATCACGAGAATATCTCGTAAATTCGCATTTCACCAGGGCGGCTTTGTCTATTCTCCTTAGTTAGAAGTGGAATCTATAGCAAAGGAGCTTTTCCTTGGCGAAATTCTAATCTAGTAACAAACCAAAAGCCATCAAATATGGCACAAGAAGAGGTGTTCACTCACAACGGGTTCTACACCGACGAGAGGTGCCACATCCGCGGACCTATAGTATGGGTAAATGTATTCGTCGCGACCCCAGAAAACCGGAACAAAACAGATGCGGAGTTCATGGATCTTGTGGCAGAGACCATCCATGCCAGAATTTCCAAGAAAACACCCCATGCCAGTGTATCAGTTACCCCCGAGCCCATGCACCACAGAGTCATGGGTTGTCTCTCGTTACCGGCACGTGGGGATTACGGGGCATTTACACGGTTTTGGGATTTGTATTTTGATGCTTTTCTTAGGGATGTGTTGGTGTTGGCGCTTTTTTATCAGGCTGAATGTGCGGCGGGGAGCATTGAGATTGATCGAGAGACACTGTTTCGGTCGTTTCATTTGAGGTCGGATGCCTTTTAGGGCTTGGGTCTTGGGGGCTTTCATTGTGTCGATACGGTGGACAGGAAATGTAGACAAAGAATGCAATAGACTGAGAAATGAAAGATTGCCTTTGTTTCTTGTTTTGGTATGTTCTATGGCCAATCCGATCAAAGAGCTCGCTAAGCCTATGGCTATTTGACCACTTGATGGGCTTATTGGTGCCAAGGGCTCGCGCCTTCTATTTCGAGGCTTAAGAAAGGAATACTCGAATATTTTGTCGACTACCTTCTTATAATTAGTACCGAAGACCCGACAAAGCCGTTGCTGCCAAAAGACCCTTTGTTTCTATCAACAGCTCAAGCAGCCTACTATAATACGGCATATCCTGTCTCAGTGTTAGGTATTTAAGCATCGTCACCTCCCATACCCAAGTACTGTCACTCCTCGGAGGGAATACCCAACCCTATCACACACCCTGTTCTACTGAAAAGAGGGGGAAACACGATCTCTCACTACATCCAATCCCCAAGCTCATTCCCATAATTAACACCCCAACCAAAAAAAATGTCTAAAAGAACCGCGTTCAGGACTCGCATTACCGACCTTCCCATAGCTGACGGTCCATCAGGACAACATGTTGTGTGGGCCACAGTGCACTTTTACCCCGAAGAGGCCAGGCTTAACAATCTAGAGTTGGTCCGCCTTATGATGTACCGCGTTGTGAACCGACAGGTTACAGTCGACGAATTACCAATGCATCACAGGTACTCTCACTGTTTATCGATCCGTGTCGCTGGCGAACTGCCCGACGAGGATGCAGTTCATGAAGTTGCTGAAGCCATGTTGGACTACTTTTATGAGAGGGTGGAATCGGGGGAATTTGTTATTAATCGGGATTATATTTTTCGTAGAAGGTCGTGGGATCTGGTAAGGCTCGGGTCTTCAATGCGTTAACTGGATGTTTTAAGCCTAGCTATCAGCTAAGTGTCAGTATGTTGTGCATCCATGGATTTACTGTTGATCTTGTCACCAATATATATCTTGTGGTTGATGTCTAAAATGAAGTTCATAAAAGTCACTGTCTCTTTATCTTTATAGTAGGCTAAATTAGAGTCTGTGTAGCTTTCGAGTAAAGAGAATATAAAACAGGAGAAGTAGGCACATATAGTATCCCCGAGCTGGGCCTTCCTAGGTGAAGCATTTGGATTTCTAATCGAAAACCTTCCCCGCCGAGACGATCAGATCTACATGTCAGCTTACTCGAACTCCCAGGTTCTTTATCAATCTTGATTTTGTCTTTCATCCTCATCGACTTTTCCCATAATATATATGCACAACCCCTGCTAGACACCAAGCACCAGCCACATTGATGTCTAAGCCTAAAATCAAACCAGTCTCTTTCGACTTCATCGGAACATGCCTCGACTGGCATAGTAGCGTACTGCAAACGCTACCCGCGGTGGTCCCCGAAGACGAAGCATGAGATCCGCCCTGGAATGGCGCAGGCAATATTTCTTGGAAACCAGCAAGGCAGCAAAAGCCTCCACCTAGAAGATATCATGTCACCCTTGCCCGCACCCTGGAGTCCCTCCTCGATCAGTCACCCAACTATAAACCACACTTGACCCCGAGACCGAGAATCAAATGATCAAAGCATGGAACTCGCAGAAAGCATGGCCCGAAGTCTCTGATGCAATCAAAAGTCTTCGACAAGATCTCGGTCTGGAAGTATTCGTCCGTGCGAATGGTACGATACGGCTCCAGTTGGACTTGACTCGGTCTTCCGGGTTAGGGTTTGACATGCTGTTTCCTAGCCAGCTGGTGGGCGCTTATAAGCCTCGCCCAGAATCTTATGAGAAGGGGTTGAGCTTGTGAAGCTTCGGCCCCCAGGAGGTGGTTTTGGTTGCGGCGCATGCGTATGATTTGCGGGGGGCGCAGAAGTGTGGATTGAGGACTGTCTAGGTCCATCGGTGAGCTGATGATATTGATGAAGATATGGAAGTGGTCAGGACTGAGTTGATGTCCTTTTAGAGAATATGGATGACCGTACTGGTGCTATTTGGAGATTGTGAGTGATGAACAAAGAGTTTCGGATATTTTATGAATATTGTGTAGCTGTCAATTCAATTGCTTAAATCTCGTATGCTGCATTGAAGCATGGAATAGGTTCGGTGCTAAAGCAAGCATTAAAATTAGTGCTATCATATCCAGCCCCCTAGGTTCCCACTCATCTGATTTGTCGACGAAGTACAATAGTCTTTCCCCTTAGACTGCCGAACCATCATCCAGAGTTTGTGTTGCTATGCTTTCATTGTGCTACAGTTTTGAACAATGAGAAAGTCTTTCCCGGCCTATCTCTCAGACATCAGAAATGTCTTGAGGAGCTTTTCTGAACCAGCTGTGCTCAAGTGCGTGCCTCGCAGTGATCCTGTTCGTGGGATCGAGGTTTGTCATCTTTCCCACCAGGTCCCTCAGACCTTGCTCCACAGAATTCCATGATCCGAAAGGTTTTCTAGGGTTTGCAGAGTTGAGGTTGCTGGCAATGGTGATCAATCGCTCGTGGAAGGGATTGATTGTCTTTCCCTATGTGGTCCAGCAATCCAACCAGGCCCTGCTCGTCGGCAAAATTGGATATATGCTTATGGAGAACATAGCGCCAAGAGTCTTCCGCATTGAGCTTGTTTTCACCGACGTGAAATACCATTTCATTGAGCTTAACGTAGATTATCTAACTAGAGTATCAGCATTCAGTGCGATGGAGCGGTCAGGGATGAGACAGGCGCACCACGATCCCAAAAGAGAACGCATCTGAAGCTTGGTTCTGATAAGATTGGCACCAGCTTTCAGGGCTCCTCCAGATGGCATTGCCGCCTAGACGGCCCCTTGGCCATCTCCCAGCTGGTACAATAACTGTATCATCAAGGTCTGAGACCTGAACGCTCTTGATTTCAATTTGGTCCTCATTGTGCTCATTCTTCTCATCGTAGTCAGCAAGAATATTGTTGGCTTTGATATCTGTGAGAAAGTCAGTACTGAGATGAAAACGGTCTTTAGGAATGCTGAACCTTTCCATTAGTCGCCATGGAGTATTGTGCCCAATGGAAGAAACTCTCCGCGAGCCCGGAAAATTTGAGGACATTGTGTATTGTTGACAGAACTGTCGGAAAGAAACATGGGATATCAACACCGAAATTCTAGCTGCTAGCAAATGCTGTATCAAAAGAGAACAGGACGCTCCTGGGCTAGATAATACAGAGATTATTGCCATCAAATATCGAGAACTTTTGTCTCAGGTTAAAGGGGACGTGATAGGAGAAACAGACGTGGCTTATTTTCGTTAGCAGTTTATTATAAGGTCCAGGTACCTACGGAGTATTGTCTTGCTACATCATGTATGCGGCCCCACGATCGTCGGCACGCGTGAGAGTGGGGTACGGGCCGTGAATTAAGGTTAACGGGCGCTGATTGGCCCAAGTATCGAAATGCCGATAGGACCAATCTTCTTGGTCCTCCGCCGTGCAGCCTCCTTAAACAAGGCAGTAATGTGAACTTCAACCGACTGCCCTGGCGGCGGCTTCTTGGTCAGGGCCACAGCGAGGAAACCATCTCCACCCGAGCATGAATCAGCATGTGACTTCTGTTGGGGTTTGATCAAGCAGCGAGCGAACGATAAGCTCACTCGCAACAAAGACCAGCAGGTGTCGGCATCGGCGTCCACATCTGCTGGGACACTCGCGACTGGTCCTGCCTGGGAAGAGTTGGTAGTCGAGAAGAAAACCTGCAGTTTTCCATCTTTGCCTCTGCCGGCTCCGACGTATAGGAACATATCCGGCGTGAAACGGATTGCCATCAAGTTTGAGGCTTCGACTTTGATGAAATCTTCTGAGAACTCCTTAGGCTTGCCACTAACAGGTTCCACCAAAGAGGATGGTACAAAATGATAGTGATATTGGGGTGGGAAATTGGCACTGTCTTTTTGATGACGCGTTTAGACGTGTTCGGTCTGGCATTTCGCCCTGTGTTCACCATCAGTCGAGGGATTTTCAGCTTTCCGTGATCAAGGAACACATCGGGCTCCTTTTACCAAAGGAAACCATAGTCCCGATGTTCAACGCGGATATTCCCTTTGCCCCTCACCTGGATTGATCTTCCTTTCTCTGTATATATAGCTAGGCTCAGTTCATCCTTTTCTTTCCCATTTGCCCTCTCTACAGTTGTTCACCCAAGCCCTTCGTATTTTAAGAGCTTCTCCGCTACATCACTTCCTTCAGCTTTCCTCTTCCATATTAGAAAGTCAGGTTATCACACATCTTTTACGTGCCATCCAAATCCATCCTTTTCATTTGTAATCTCAACCCATCCTCTTCAACTTGCATTTCTCGTTTCCCTTCTCTCTGATTCCATCTCAAGACACAGTTCAGCATAAGTAATAACAGTTGCCTTGATGGACTTGACGTACAGTCCTCACTCGCAAGATCTGATTTGTCTTCCCTCATCCATCATCCCCCGCCTCACTTGTTTCCGCCCCTTGTACCCTACACTGATATTTTATCCCTACAAGGAATGCTTCCCAACCCTTCTTTTGCATAGTCCCACCAAAGGCTGACACGAGTTAAGCGAGGTCTCAAAATGGTGTCATCAAAACCTGCAGGGAAACGACCTGCGGTCTCACCTTCACCGGAGCGCGAGAATCCAACGAAGAAAAGAGTAAGATCACGAACTAATATTCAGATGAAACTTTAACTAACCTTGTGTCCAGAAGAAAATCCTTGCAAAAAAGAAGGCTGCCCGGAAGACAAAGCCGAATGAGTTCCAGCAGGCCCGGGCTAAGGGAAAAAACTGGGTAATGGCTCAAGACTAAGAGGCCCAGTTGGCCGCATACTTGTCATTCCAGAATACGTCAGAGCTTCGACAGATCACAATCTCGTGGGTGCCCCTGGCTGCCGAAAAGTACTCCTCGACGGCCGCCAAGAACATGTCGAAGAAGGGAGCAATCAACTTCGTGTACATGAAGGCTGGGAAACGCGAAGTTCAGGATGTGCAGGATTCACCTCTCACTGCGTGACTATGCAACGAAGATGATGACAAGTCGTTCCAAACAAGACAAGTGTGGATGAGACCGGAGGCGAGGAAACTGCCGGCCCCCGCAAGACGTCTGTGCTCGAGCAGTCAGTCAAGAGGCACATGTGTCGAAAACAGAAAAGTGTAGAAGGGGTGGGGACACGGCAGTGCATAGTCTTTTTTTCCCGTCACTCTCTCGTCGTCACTATCTTGTCATAAATTCCGCTCCTACCTTGTCGACTTTGGCCGGTGTTTATTTCCTCAACGCAACGAAAGAGTATCTGGAAGCCCCGAGCCACGAATCAATTCTAACTGGCATAGCGGCGGAATAAACAACAAAGGCTCAGTCTGAAAACCAGGCATCCGTGCCCGGGAGATGGGATCATCCAACAGCAGGTTTATGCCAGTAGTATAATATATCATTCATTGTCTGAGCCTAGCCTGCTTAGGCTCTTGGATACAGAATACTCTGTAGATAGATGTCCTGAAAACCCTTGGCAAAGATAAGAAAAAACATTTGTTACGAAAGGAATCATGGAATTATAACACGGTTTTTTTTTTAGAAGCAAACAAGAAAGGAGACCTAAACATGATCAGTCATAAGACTAAGAAATCATTGCCCTTGGACCACCGGTCTTGGCCGCGGGCACTTGAATTACTTAGATAGAGAACATTTCTCATTTCAGGGAGCAGTAGTCTTTGGAATTCTAACAATCATTCATTCTACTATTTAAGATCGCCCTCCCGCTGATTTCTCTCTCACACTTCAACCCACTCCGGTCACTCAATATCTGACATCGCACCTACACCGCCGCCAACATCAATATGGGCTCATTGGACACCACTCAGACCTTCTGGTCGAACGCCGACAAGTATCTCATGATAACGGGCGTTCCTTTCTCCCCGGTTATTATCACCATGGCTCGCGGCACACGTCTTTACGATGCCGATGGCAATTCAATTCTCGACTTCACCTCCAGCCAGATGAGTTCCCTGCTCAGCCACTCCCACCTTGAGATCGTGGAGGTCGTCTGCAAGTATGCCGCAGAACTAGATCACCTGCTCAGCAACATGATTACTCCCCCGGTCGTTCGCTGAGCGGTTGGCTCGCTTCCTGCCAGCGCAGCTTCAAAAGTCCTTCATCCTGAACACCGGACCCGAGTCGACCGAGGCGGCTATCAAGATGGCCAAGTGCCATACTGGCAACTTTGAGATTGTCGCTTTCCACGGCCTCACCCAGGGCTCTGGCTCTGCCATCTACTCAGCCGGGCGTAAGCGGGGTGGGCCTTGTACGCCTGGCCAGCTCGTGTTCCCTGCCCCGTACGCTTATCGCTCGCCTTTCCGAAAGGCCGATGGATCCTATGACTGGGAGACCGAGATGGACTATGGATGGACCATGATCGACCGCCAGAGCGTCGGCTCTCACGCTGCGTTTATTATGAAGCCTATTCTATCCACAGGGGGTATATTGGATCTCCCTATGGGATAGCTGAAGCGCCTGTTCGCTGAGTGCAAGAAGCGCGGCATGCTTACTATGATGGACGAAGCACAGACGGGTGTAGGTCGCACGGGTCATATGTTTGCTTTTGAGAATGAAGGCGCCGTGCCCGACATTCTCACCCTCTCTAAGACTCTCGGCTGCGGGCTTCCCCTTACCTCTGTGAGCACAACTGCTGAAGTCGAGCAGGGCTGCAAGGAAGCCGGGTTTCTATGGCCGACAACTCACCTTAATGGTCCTCTTACTGCCGCTGTTGGCAATAAGGTGCTCGAGATCGTTGAGCTTGACAATATCTGCCAGCATGCTGCTAAGCGTGGCGCCCAGCTCCGCGAGGGCCTTTAAACTCCAAGAGAAGTATTGGTGCATTGGTGACATTCGTGGCCGCGGCCTTCTACAGGGCATAGAGATTATCTCTGACCCCAAGACACGGCCCCTGGCTCTGACCTTGGCCAGGATGTCTCCGATCGCGTTATGGCTTGCAGTCTTTCTTGCAATGTTGTCAACCTCCCGGGTATGGGCGGTATCTTCCGTCTCGCACCCTCGGTCACCGTCACTGCCGAGGAGATTGAGGAAGGTCTTCAAATTCTTGATGAGGCCTTAGAGTACGTTCTGAAGACTACAAAAGCCTAAACAATCGATTGTATCTACATTGCACCAAGTAAAAGCGAAAATTGTTTCAAGTTGTGATGGAGAGCTAGGCTTAAAGGTTATAATTTTCCGATTTCGCGCTCCGTTCTTCTTATTCGAGCCGTGTCCATGTCCACTCTTTAACTCTACGAATGTACAAATAATGGAAATAAAGTCAATAAATTCAAACATCAAGATCAACTGGGAAGGCTGCAATACTGCTTTTTTCAATTGATTTGATATCTCTCTCTTTTCCTAACAAGACTTCCTCCAGAATTAACCATTTAGATTGTTTGACGACTGTATGCGAAGTAACAGGGTCGATGTATGCCAGGGTCTTTCCCCTTTAGTCCCCAGGTGCAGACCCCAGTGTGCAGGATTGGAAACGTGGTGAGGCTCTGAACCCAGCAATTATTTTCTAGCGTTCGGCTCCCCGACCGGGGGACGGAGGCTCTTCCGACACCTCCGGGATGTTCGCTACGAAAGAGGAAGACTCCATGACATATAATACTTGAATAGGTATACATCTCGATAGACAATCCCCCACGATTCGACCTACTTGGTCACCGGAAATGCCTGGAATGGTAGCTATTGGGCGTGTTACCTATGCAAAAAGGGGTTCAACTCGAGAAAAGCGCTAGAGTCGCATGTCAGTGAGCCAAATTCTGATTGATTGTTATGTCCAGGTTTATCTACCATTTATGAATGTCTAGATGAATTTCGCGCCAAAGATCTATTGAAGCGCTCTTTTCAAGCTAACGCGGACTGGATTGAAATGTACCATGGCCTAATGGCGACGTGGTATAGCCCATCGGGTTCGTGCATATGCAGTTTGTACAAGGCCAACTGCAAGGCAGGTGAGCGGCTCCGGGAGGACTTCCGCTGAGCTTGAACGGGTTTAGCGTTGATGGCCGACGTGGAAATTGATGAGAATCATCTAGTTATCATTCTCGTATTTCTAATATCGATGGCATCGAGTTAATTCTTCCATTCAAGGGGCGTGTTGTTTTTGAAGTTGTGTTGAAGACTAATACTTATCCTACAAACGCAGGGACATTTAGGAAAGTGGAGTCGATGGAATCAATGACGTGAATACTATAGTTCTAGTGCAGGGAATATTCTTTTCGTTTTTTTATGATTGCTGTATATCCTCTGAACTTGTTCATGTGAGTAGATCGAAGATCAAGCATATAAACTTCCTACTCCGCCCCAATTCTTCGTCATCCCCGTTCCTACCTACGTACTTGATTTCCTCTGCCACTTCTTGGCGTTCTCTTTCCGTTTTAGTGCTCAGACCTTGCCGCTTTTTGCTCACTGGGCATTACATAAGCACACTGACCTGCTCACTGAGCATCACCTGATAGTCACCTGAGCATCCTGATTCACTCACTGAGCATGAGCTGAGCGTAGGCATGAGCGGCCTAAGTAAGCTACATCAATAAAATGCAACACACTAGTTCCATCACGTGCAATCATTTTCCCCCACTGTCCCATCAAAAAAGGATGGGCACCGTCAATACGACCGTTCGTTCTAGACCTATCGGTCTCCCACTCCTGGCTTTGCTCCCAGGAATACTTCGTTCACTAGCCCCACGATGCCCTATTCGGGCTTTGGACCTCTACTAGGGTGATGGCGAGTGGTCGGAATTACTTAAAGATCTAGTTACAATCTTGCCATATAATAAGGCTAACTAAAGTAATCAACCTTTAGCAGGCGACGAAGATGAATTAATCCGTTAATTCTCTCGCCAATAAGCGAATATATCGGAAGGCCTTCATAAGCGTATAATGTCA